ACAGCAGCTACTTGGAAGGCTGAGGCGTAAGGATCGCCGGAGCCCAACAGGTTGAGGCTGCGGTGGCCGGGAGCATGCCACTGCACTCCAGTCTGGGCGACAGAGTGAGACCCTAACTCAAAAAAAAAAAAAGTTAGCAAAGACTTTAAAATAACTAAGAATAAAAGCAAACTCTTAAATGGACCTACATCTAGGAATGTGAGAAATTTTAGACACCAAGAGCAAAAAGAGAATCCTATATGCTTCCAAAGACAAAAAAAAAATCAGTCACATATAAAAAACTGCGTTTCATTTTTTTTTGAGTTGGAGTCTCACTCTGTCACCCAGACTGGCCATCACAGCCTCGACCTGCTGGGCTCCGGCGATCCTTCCACTTCAGTCTTTCAAGTAGCTGGAACTACAGGCGCGCACTACCACACCCGGCTAGTTTTTTATTTATCGTAGAGACGAGGTCTCACCAAGTTGCCCGGGCAGGTCTTGAACCCGTAGGCTCAAGTAATTCTCTTGCCTCAGCCTCCCAAAGTGCTGGGATTACAGGCTGAGCCACCAAGCCCGGCCACATTTGATTTTTTTAACAGCAACAATGAAGAGAAGAATGGTGATCATAGTAAGTTAAAGACATTTTGAGTTATACAAGATCTCACAAAATCTCATCTCCTCATGCCCTCTTTCATCTCCTACTATACTGGCACCATCAAAATGAAGGAGCAAACCTAGAATTCAGGAAATAAGGGATCCAAGAAAAAGCAATGGAGAAACTCCCTAGGATGCTGATGACGGCAGCTGTAAGATGCCAGCATAGACAGAGGCAAAATGGAAGACACAAAGAAATTTCCAAAAGAAAAGAAACGAAGAATATCCGGTGTGTTTGAAATTACTGAGAATAAAACTAGACAATTGGGGAAGAGTTTCAGGACAGATTGATAAATTCAGAGATAATCAAACGAGATAATTATTATTAGTTCAGCAAAGACTCAAGTCATACAAGAAAGAAAAAGAATCATAATGGCTAAGCTGAGAGTAAAAGTTATATATCGATGAAAATGTAAACAATTTAAACAAAACTACATGGTAAAACAGTTAAAAGGTACAATAGATAATTCCCAAAGCCAAGGAAGTAGTAGCAATATACACACGCTACTAACAACAAAATAAACAAGAGGTTAGGGATTGGAGGGACTGGAGAATGTGACTACTATTTTTTATAATAAGTCATGTAGAAGAACACTTTATCTCTTTATGTACACATAAAATTTTGATTAAAGTAAAAACTAAGTTAAAAAGTAAAATACACACAAATCACTCTATAAAAAAGATACCTGCACACGTATGTTTATCGCAGCATTGTTCACAATAGCAAGAACGTGGAAACAACCATGCTGCCCAT